GGCTCGTGGGCGGCCTGGGAAACAGCCGGGGGGAGAGCGGGGGGTGCAAGAGAGCCGGCTTGTGTGAGGGGGGCGACTATATACGTCTGGCATGAAAGGAAAGGAGAAGAGGAAGGAGGGGAGGGGAGAAGAAAGGTTTGTTGTGGGGTGAAGGCACCAGGCTAGAAAGAGGAGACTGGGAGCCGGCTGGGTGACTTTGGGCCAGTCTCTCTCTTTCTCTCAGCCCAACCTACCTCACAGGGCTGTTGTGGTGGGGGAAATAGAGGTGGGAACATTTGGTTCGCTGCCTTCAGTTGTGCAAAATAATGGTGGGATAAAAACTTGAGAACGGCAGGCATATCTACTTGGCCCAGGCATCTCAAGCGGGTTCAAACAACTCCACTTGTTGGTCAGTTTGGTTCAAACTGCTAATTTTAATAATTTAATACACTGGTATCTCCAGGGCGCAAGGCATGGCAATTATTAAAAACCAGTCTTTAATAATTTAAAGACAAGATACTTTCACAGCATCGGATGATGCGTTATCTTTTCCTGTGCTACTTCACTGACCCATCCAGTCCATTCCCACATTTCAGAGGGTACTGTAGGTCAAGGAGGGGGTGCACATCCAGAAGAGTCATTTTCAGGTCAGGGTGTCCCAAAGTACCCAACACGTCTGAGGACCCCTGGGGGTCCCCCAAACCATCTCAGGGGTCCATGTTACCTAGTCGGGTAATGAAATGTCTGCAATCAAACAACCAAGCTCAGAGAGCACCCGGGACTCCACCAATCAAAATTATTTGCCTGATATTGAATATATTTGCAACAATGTCACTCTTCTCATTATTTTTAATTTGTTAAAAAATATGGGGTTTTTCATGAACATATTTTATTTGTGTTAATATCTAATGGGCTTAATATTGTTATTTTTACATGATTCAATAAATAAATATTCTACCAATGTGTCAGTTTTAATTTTTAGCTCAGTAAATATCCATAAATACAACCCATGTAAACAAATTTTTATTTCTGGGGCCCTCCATAATTTTTAAAAGGGGGAAAGGGTCCTGAGGGCAAAAAGTTTAAGAAACGCTGCTGTATGCTAAGTCTTAGTTACTTCTTCGGAGTTAGGTTGTGGTATCCAAGCCCCAAAGAGGGTTAATTTTCCTTTCTTGCCTTGGACATAGGGCACTTCCACACTTGGTGGAATCCACAGGATGGGATCAACAGCATAAAAGTGGCAGATGCCTGCCACTGAGCAATTGAAGCTCCGCCCCTTTTCATATGTGTGCAATTGAACGATGCATGTTAAAAAGGAATTGGATACCAAGTTTGAGAGTATACATCAATGTTACGCATAACTTCATATTTAAAAATAAGACATACTTATTTTAACTTGGAAACCATTTATAGATTATAATTCTCCCCATAGACTTCTGCCACATCTAAAATGTGGGTTTCTCTTGACCTAAAGGCTTTATAGCACTACATTTTGCCTGATTATCAGCCTGTCTCAGATGGATTGAAAATTCTGGTTCATACTTACCATTTGGGCTGTTTTTGTTAATTTCTGGATTGACTATAATAATAGAGTTTTAAGTGTCAAATTGATACAAGAGTGGCTTTATATATTGTACTTGTTTAATATTACTGATGGTACATGGTACCCCGGTTCATGAACTTAATTCGTTCCGCGACTCTGGTCGTGTCCCGAATCAAATTTTCCCATAAGGTTCAATGTAATTACGGTTAATCCGTTCTGAA